TTTTAGAAAATTTTATTATTTTTTTTATAAGTTCTTCTTATTTTAAGATTTTTATTTTTATTTTTATTTTTTATTTTATTTTTTTTTTGTTTCTAAAAATTAATTGAACTAAAATTTTGTTTTTTTAATGAATATAAACCAACAACAAGACCTTTTTGCTTTGTTAATTAATAAATATATCAATACTGAAATGAATACAACAACTGCAATAAAGTCATTAGATGATTTAAGACAATTTCCAATTCAAACAAGTCCACAATTTATACGAATAATACAAGAAGCATGTAAACAAGGAAATTTTGAAGTATTACAATATTTCTGTGAAAAATTTCCTTCTTTTATTGACCAACCAAATGTTCAAGGAGAAACTCCATTATTTATTGCTACAGCCTATAACAAACTTGAAATTGCTGAATATCTTATAAAACATGGAGCAAGTACAAACCATTTATTACCTACTGGAGATAGTTATCTGCATTGGATAGCAGCTTCGCCACCAAGTTCATTAAAAAATAGTATAATTAATGGAGTTATTACCAAATATCCAGAGATAGTAAAAACAAATAATATAATACAAGAAACACCAATGCATATTGCTGCATTGGCTGGTGATATTGATGTTGTAAATAAATTAATTGAATGTGGTGGACAACCAACAGATAAAACAATTCGTTGTATTGATGTATATGGATATGCGCAAGCAAGTGGAAACAAAGAGTTAATGGATTTATTAAAACCTTTATGTAAAAAAGACCAAATAACACAAGAACAAAAATTAATAGGTATTGCTGGATATGCTATAAGTAGACCAGACTCTTCTTCATTACCTAGCTCAAATAGTAATTCTTCTACAAATGATGCTATTAGTGATAATGAAGATACATTCAATATTGAATGTATTGAATTCGACCCAAATGAAGATACAACAGTAGAAGGATTATATAAGAAATATCAAACATATAACTTACCAAAACAAAGTAAATTAAAGAAATTTATGAATAAAATAGTTAAATATCCAAGTATTAATCAATTTAAAAGAGAAACTATGGCATTAATTAAAGAGGCATTCTTATCAAGAAGAATGATGGAACAACCAAATAACTATGGAAAAGGAAAGAAGTATAGAATTATCTCTCTTGATGGTGGAGGAATTAAAGTGCTTATGGAAGTTATTTTACTTCAAAGATTATCTGCAGAATTTCCTGATATGTTTGTTAATTGTAATTTGTTTTGTGGATGTAGTGCATCAAGTGTTGTTGCTGTTACATTATCAATGGGATATAATTTGGATGGTTTATTGAAATTGATTGAACATGTAATTCGATATTCTTTTAAGAAAGACTCTATTCAGTCAGTCACAAATCCTAAATACATCAATGACTATTTAAGGGCATTTGGAGAAGTTGCATTTGGTAATTTAAAATTAAACGATTTACCACGACATGTTCTTATTCCTTCATTCCTTATTGATAGTGGAATTGATTCAGAAACAAGACATTGCAAATCAGAAGCATTTAATAATATTATTTCAGGAAATGATACAGAAAAAGTTGCTGACGTGTGTTTGAGATCTGCTGCTGCACCAAGTTATTATAGACCTTATCAAAATTATGTAGACGGTGGTATTGTAGATAATGTTCCTTGTGGAGTAGCTTGGCCATATTTAATTGGTGCAAAAGGTATTGGAATTGATCCTAAAGATATTGTTTGTTTATCGTTATCTGCTGGAAGACCAACTCCAGCTCATCTTGATGCTCAAAAAATTGGTAATGGTGGATTGGTTCAATGGGCACCTGTTTTAGCTGATTTATTTATGTTGGCAAGAAGAGATGAAACTGTAAAAGAGGGAAAATTACTATTTGGTGAAAGGTTTCTTCGAGTAGATCCAATATTACCTGGACAAATTTTATTAGATAATGTAGAACAAATTGAAGAAGTTAAAAGAATTGCGCAATCATATGACCTTGAAGAAATTAGAAAATGGATGAGAGAATATTGGGAATAAAAAAATCTTACTTCAATATTTTTTAATGTTGTCATTTGTTTATTTTTAAACTTCTTCTATTTGTGTAGGAATTTGAGATGGTGTTGGAGATTGACTTTTTTCTTGTAATAATGGGAAAGGAATATCTTCTACTTGTGCACTAACATAAAATGCAATTTCAGCATCAACATCTTTGTCTTCTGATTGATATGAACATTCTATATAAAGAAGCTTGTTTTGGTTAATCATAATTGTGATTTTCTTTGAATGTTTTAAAGCTTTTCTAATACATTTAAATTGACTTAGTCTATAACGAGCAGAGAAAGTTTGATAACATTCAAATTTAACAAATGAATTTTGTGAATAATGAGTAGACATAGAATCAGAAATAGAACTAGATGATATTGTTAATGTACCATCAATATTAGCATCAAATATTAGATATAAATGGTTCCATTCCATTGTTCCAAATGATGGGATTAAAGGTTGATAAGAAGAAGTTATATATAATAATACTCTAAATTTACTAAAATCAAATATGTTTACTGGACAAATAGAATCTGAAATTGGGTTAATTTTCATTCTAACTGTTGTAGTGTTATTTTTAGATTGAAGCAATATTTCATTTGATTCTAATATAAAAATATCTACATTAAACCGTACTTCAGATATGATAGAATCAAAAAATAAGACCAACTCTTTTAGTGGAATCTTTACACTGAACTCATTGTGATTATTATCAAATATGTATGAATCAAAAATATCTTTTTCCCAAAAGACAATTGTTTGACAAACACTTTTTTGTTCTGAAACGATTTTAATCCCATATTCATCAATCCAAAGTGTAACATTATTATTTGGAAGTTCTTTGTTAAATAACGTTTCAATGGTACTTTGGAGAATCTTACCTTGACAAGTTGAGAATGAATAAAAACTATGTTTCATTGATTGTAGGTTATCACTTGTAAATGTTAAAATACTTGCTCTTGTTCTTCCAAGTATATCTTGAGATGTAACTATTGGATCAACAGACATAATTAAGAATTTGAGATAAAGATTTTATTTTTTATCTTTCTTTATTAGTAATTAGTAAGTTTATTTCTTTGTTATTAAGTTTATTCAATAAATTTTCATAACATAAAACAAAAATCTGAAAAAGAAAAAAAAAACAATCAAAATTAACATCTTAGTATAATCCAATGAATATAGAAAGTGATGATTTTGAAATTAGTCTTGGGTTACCAGATATTGAGATGGAGTCTACTCCATTAACCTCTAATAATCCTTTCGAATTGTTAAGTGATGATACAATCTTCTCAATTACTCAGTTTTTAAGTCCACGAGATTTACTTTCATTTGGTGAAACAAATCGTCGGTTATGGTATATTTGTAGACGGGATGAAGTTTGGACTTCATTAGTATTGAAGACAACTGGGAGAGTGACTTATACCCGTAAAGATGCCATTATTAGTTTAATTCAAAAATACCAAGAAGATACTGAATTGGCTGAACAACAACTTGAATTTAAACAACAAGAACAGCATAATAAAATAGAACGTATATTATTTAAAATTCGAGATGGAGTTAATTGTTGTGGAATAGAAATTACAACAATTTTATTATTTTATTTCTCAGTTGTTCTTCTTCAACTAAAAATTGAAGGAACGCTTAACATTGGGTACTGGCTTCCTTTACTCTTTTGTTTACCATTTGTCTTTTATTTCACTTTTATCCCAACGTTTAATTTTTGTGTTGGAAAATATGCAGATGAAGATGACCCACCAGTGAGATGTTTCTCTTCTCCAATACAAACAGCACGTTATTTATTCATATTTAATTCACGTGGAATAGGAATATTAAATGAGCCATGTATTTTGATTAATTATATTATTCTCTTTGCTGTTTCTTTAGGAGTTCCATACTATATTATTCCAGTAGTATTATTATTATGGCTATTACTTTGGGTATTTAGTGGGTGCTTTGTTTGTGATCATTACCCTAAACCACAAGCATGGAGAGGAATTTTAAGTATTTCATCAGGTAGTATTTTAATTATAGCAGTCATAACTATTGTTATGAAAATAGAAGATTCAATAGATATGTCATATCAGTTAGTTTTTATTCCATTGTACATCTTCCTTTTTATTGCTTTTTTGTTTCCAGTATTTACATTTATCTTTTTTTGTAGTTTGTGTCTTTGCAATAAATCATTAGATGAAAATGGATGTTGGAATAATGTTTGTTGTTTCAATGTTGGAACACCTGATCTTGCTGCATTAAAAAGTTTGTTTTTTATGTTAGTGGCAAGTATTTTATGTCCATTTACTATGACTTTTATCGGACTATTAGCAACCAATTTAGATGGAACAGATGATGTTTCATTTTATATTTCATTTCTTCCATTAGACATTTTGGGAGTATTTTTGATGATATTATATGTTGTGGGAAAGAGATATGAAATAACTCATTTGTGATTATTCTTATCTTTTTATTGGAATAAAAAAAAAACAAAAATTTTCATCTCATAACTTTTCAGTGACATGGGATTTTTCGATTTCCCTTTAATTTTTATTTCTTTACCAATAACTCTTATTATTGTTATTATTATTGCCTATCTCATTGTGTTCATTATTGGAGGTATTTGTTATGTTTATTCAATTTTCCTTTTCAAAAGAAAGGATTGGGACTATACTGGAAAACATATTTTTATTTTTGGTGGAAGTGCTGGTGTTGGACAAGCTATTGCATTAAGACTAGCAAAAAAAGGGGTACATCTTTCCATTGCATCTAGGTCAGAAAATAAATTAAAAGAAACTCAAGAAAAATGTTTAATAGAAAATTCAAAGACAACATGTGATTATTATATTTGTGATATGGGAAATACTGAAGATGTTAAAAAAGCCTTAGAACAAGCTGTAAAAAAATATGGAATTCCATCACTTCTTATTAACAGTGCAGGAATTGCACATCCAGGATTTATTGAAGACATGACATATGAACAATATGAAAAGGATATGGACTTAAATTATTTTGGTTGTTTAAGAATGATGAAAGAAATTAAAATTTTATTAGATTCTAATCCAACTAAAGAAAGAATTGATATTGTTTGTATTGGATCATGTCTTGGATTAATTGGATCAATTGGATATACAGCATATTGTCCAACTAAATTTGCTATTAAAGGTCTTCTTGATTCATTAAGATTTGAATTTTTAGGAACTAATGTTCATCTTCATTATTATGCACCATCTAACATGGACACTCCAGGTTTTGCTATAGAAAATGAACACAAACCAAAATTAGTTGCGTCTATGGAAAATAATGTTCAAACTGTTACTGCTGATTATGCAGCACATGCTTTACTTTGTAACCTTGATCGATACGTTATTACGTCAGAACCAGACTTAGACTTATTAAAGAATGGACCAACATTTATGTCAAGTCATACTATACAAGACTTTCTTATTTGTCCATTATCTGCTTTAGGAACAACTTTTTATCGAATGATGATTGAAAAGAATATTTTAAAGAATGTTGACCATAAAAAAGATTAACAGTTGAGATGAAAATTAAATTAATTTGATTCTTTTATTTTGAACATCGTTTTATATAATATCATTAAAAGAAAGTCACAATCAAAAATTATTTTAAATAACTACATAGTTCTTTTACATTATTATTTTTTTTTCTCTGAAAGAATAAGTCACAATATATCAAACTGTTGTAGGTTCTACTAAAGGTGGAAAAGATGTTCTTTCAGTATAAAAAGAACGAGCTCTTTTAATAATATTATGTACATTAGCAGATGATGGATATTTCTGTAATGTTTTTAAACAATAAGAAAAATCTCCATTAAGTAGTTGTTTCTTGATTTCTACTAACATTGATACACACAAACAACATATAAAATCACCTGTGGGATCTACTAAAATACAGTCCCATACTAATAAAACACTTTCTATTGGAAATTCTTGTGCAAATAATAATGTTACCCACCTAAATGAATATAATGTATTTGTGATATTTAATAATACTAAATGTTCATAAAGTTCTGGTTCTTTCATTGCTAAAACAGCATCTATTCGTGCTAATTGTGCATGAATACCTCTTGACGTCCAATCAAGTTTTGGTGAATACCAATCACTTATTTTAGTCATTAAATAAGCAAAACAATAATAAGTAGTTGATTCTGCTCTTGCTCTTGAAGTTGATTGTGCAAAAACATAAAATAATACTCCAGCAATATCATTCATTCCTTGAACATATGGATATGTTTTATTGAATTTAGTCTGTACGTAAAGAATATGTCTAATACATTCTCTATTTTTTTCTTCCTAGAATAATTAGTAAAAATAATTCTTTGTAATTGATTAAATAAAACAACAAACTAAGAAGAAAGGAGATTTAGGGAATAATCTTTTAACATCCTTATCAATTTCATATAATAACAATTGATCAGCATCAGTTGTTTCATCAGTAACATTAATCTTTTGGCTTGGAAAGAAATCTTTAAGAAAAGTGAGATAATCTTTGTGTAGCAAATTGTCAGTTTCTTCCCAAGTGTGTTTTTGGCATGAATAGACATTTAGTAATAATTTCCATACGATGGATCTTGACTCTTCTTCATTATCTCCATTAATACCATATTGAAATACTGCTTGCCTTATTTTATTAATTTCTATAATTTCAGGAAGAAGAAGCTTTTGTAAGATATTATTCTCTTTACGACGAAATAATTTCATTATATTCTTTTAAGTTTTTATTGAATTTTCTTGTTCTTGTTTTTTGAATTTTTTTTTTTTTTGATTTTCAAATCATTTTCTTTTTACCTTATTAAACTCAGTTTTTTAAATGAATGAAATGCAGGAACTTAAGAACTTATTTTTCTAATTGATGAGTGTATCAAATACAAGAAAAATAAGTCGTGAAGAACTTCACAAACAATATCTTAGTGATCCATGTAAATTATTATTTAATGAATTTATTGTTGATGCCTTCAAATATCAAATTAAAGGATATAAATATTTTTTATTATCACATTTTCACTCAGACCACTATCAAGGGTTGTCAAGTAAATGGAAGTGTGGAATAATTATAGGCACTGAAATTACATTAAATTTAGTAAAATATAAGTTCAAAATAAAAAATGAATATCTTTATGTTATTCCATTAAATACACCAACTTATTTTGAAGGATCAAATAATGATGGATATATTGTCACAGCAATTGAAGCAGGACATGCACCTGGAAGTTGTTGTTTTGTAATTAAAAGAATAAGTGATGGAATAATATATCTCCATGTTGGTGATTTCAGATTTGATTCAACTTTACAAAACGATAAAAACTGGAAGGAATATGTCTTTACTCAACACATAAATACATTATTTCTTGATACAACTTATTGTGATCCACAATATAAATTTAAAGAACGACAAATTATTTGTAATGAAGCAGTTAAAATTGTTAAACAATCAATGGGGAAAACTTTGTTTATTGTTCAAACATATACTATTGGAAAGGAGATGTTTGTTGAAGAAATAGCACGACAAACTGGAATAAAAATACATGTTGATGAGAACAAATATTCAATTGTTAAATTATGTAAAAGAGATTTATCATTATATACGTTAGAAGAGTCTTCTTTAGAAATAAGAACAAGTATATCAAATAGTAGTATAACATCTTTAACAGTAGAATTATCACAATTACCAAATAAGTATGATAGAATTATTATATTTCAACCTACTGGATGGGCGAAAAAAACAACTTGTAAAGGTTCTTTTGAAGTTAAAGAATATAAAATTCCATATTCAGAACATAGTAGTTTTAACGAATTAATTGACTGTTATAAAATGATTCACGCTGACCATGTTATTCCTTCTGTTATTGGTGAAGGTCAAACTTCTCAAAAAATTATTGAAATGATAGAAAGAGAAAGTAAACCAAAACCAGGTACATTAGACTCTTTTTTCATCAGTAAAAAAAGATTTAATTCAGAGTCTATTGTTCCTCATAAAATAAAAGATTTTCATGAACCTTTACTTTCAAATAAACAAGTTGTATCTTCAATAATAATTGATTAATATTTATTACATTTAATCAAATAATGTCATTAAACAAGGATAATATCAGTTATTATTAATAAAACTGACATGAATGTTAATTACACAATCTTTACACAAAAGAAAAATAAGCAGTTATTTAAGTATTCAGTGGAGATTAATCACATTCATGAACTATTTTCTAATAACTCTAATGAGTATGTTTATTTGTGATAGAATCAATACCCCATGACATTTATCACATTTTTAATGACATTATGTTTTTAATTTCTTTTAACTGTCATTTTTATTTCTTTATTTAATTTAATACTTGAAGTATTTATTATTCATTTGTTTCTATTTATTATTCCATTTATTTTATATCTCTTAATTTCTCTATTTTCTTTATTCCATTCTTTATTCCTTTATATTTCTTTTCTTCATTTACCTCTATTCTCATTATGATAATATTTAACATTATTCATATTATTTATTATATTTATTTTATTCTTTATATTTATTACTTATATTTTATCTTTATCTT